TGCATGTTAACTTTTAGCCCAAAGACTGCTTCAAACCAAGTAAGAGTCATTCTAATTTCTCCATATTCTCTTGGGAAGCATTAGCAAAAAAAATTGTATCATCTGCATACTGCAGCAATGCTACTCCCACTTTCTCTCCCACCTTGCAACCCTCTAAGAAACCTCCTTCAACCGCTCTACTCACCATTGTGCCAAGAGCCTCTGTTATGCAAATAAACAACAATGGTGACAATGGATCTCCCTGTCTAATTCCTCTAGTGTTGTGAAACCTTCCTGCTGGACTGCCATTCATCAAGACTGAGAAGATTGCTGTAGTTGCGCACACCTTTATCATGTTCCTCCACTCCCTGCCAGTTGAACCTCTTGAGCATGTAGTCTAAAGAAATCCCAGTTTACATGGTCATCAGCTTTCTCCATATCAACTTTTAATAATTCTCCCTCTTCCCATTGTTTCGCATATAAGTTGGATGCATCCTGACCCAACGGGAGAGAGTTAAGGAGAAGTTCATTCCAGCAACAAGGTAGAGGAAAGAAATCAAGGTGGAGAAGAAAAGACTGCTACTGGATGATTCAAAATCTAGAGGAACAAGCATGGAAATCAGAGAAGGCAAACGAGCAACGGTTATCCTGACTTGGTGGTCCTGAACTGGTTTAAAGGATTCGTAGATGGCCTGATTTTCTTAGTGAAGACAGAAGGACGGAAAAATAAGATAGAGGAGAAAAGCAATTCTTGGTCGAAAGCAGAAGAAACAACAGAGGATGGTACATTACCTTAACAGAATTTTTTGGTAAAGGAAAGAAATAAATGACATGCCTACCTAAAGGTAGGCTAAAACAAGGCTGGGTAATGGTGGCTAATGTCCTAGAAGAATTCCAATCGAAGCACGAAGAGAATAGTGAAACTGGAAATGCCAAGTGCCCTGGAGAAGAAACCCAAGCAAACACAGAGAAGGAGAAACCAGGTGAAGGAGGAGGGGAGAATTAGAAGCTGAAGAAGAAGATTTAGCAGTATCATCCTCCACAACGCCGAAAGTGATGTGGGAAAGGAAGAAGATTGATTGGGAAAGGGAGGAAGGTTATCATGACAAAGAAAAAAGTGGAAGATTGGAATGAAATCCTGAGAATGATAATGGAAAAAACTAAATCCAAAGAAAAGGCAATCCTTATCCCTTTCAGATAAAAGAAGGCAATATTAGATATGGGGAAATTTCAGTTTGAAATGTTCACTTTTGAAACAAGCAATGGGAAACTAACAATAGAAAACTGGTCACCCAACTGTAATGAAGAAATTTGTGTGGATGGTAGTCTGGTTATCAAGCTTCTTGGGCTACCTTTCAACCTTTGGCCGGAGCAATTTTTTCAGAGACACAGCTATTTGTGGTGGAGTCTTAGAAGCATACTGTATGAAGGATCTGCGCCTTGGAGGTATTTTCTGATGATGCCTGGAGAACAATCTGGCTCACAACAGAAGCTGAAGCATTACTCTGGAACTCTGAGTCAAAGGTAGAAGAAGATGATGCCATGTAGACTAAGCTGGGTGGACTGAAGCTAGAATTTTGGAAACTGAAAAGTCAGAGGAAGCCTCAGGAACTGTAATAAACCTAGCAGGAACTGAAAAGTCAAGTGGGTAACAAGAATTTCATTTCTTCTAAGCAAACTGATTATCAAGGCTGATCTAGAAAATCTGATTAAAGATTAGAGGATTAGAAGGGATGAAATTGTTGTTACCCACTTGCAATTTGCAAATGGCATAGTCGTTTTCTATGAGGACTGTGATGAATCTCGTGAGAGGAACTTGAAAGCCTTAGTAGATGGGTTCCAAAGGATCTCAATATTGTAAGTGAATTGGGGTAAGAGTTGTATGGAAAGAATTAACATGAAAGAACAAGATATTCAACTAGTAACATGAGTACTAGGCTATGGGGTTAAAAGTTGGCCTCTAGAATATCTTGGTATCCCTTGGGGGAGATTTGCAAAAAAGAAAAGCTTTGTGGAAAAGAAACTATATATCCTTGGGAGGAAGAGTCACTTTGATCAAATTCACTTTAGCCAACCTGCCTACCTATTACATGTCCACCTTTAGAATACAGGATAAAATAGCAATGCATTCACTTTGTAAACACCGCTGATCAAACTTATCAGTCTAAAGTCCTTTAAGGCTGCTTCTTTCTTCTTGAGAATCAAAGATAAGAAAGTTGATTTCAGGCTCCTTTCCAAAGCCCCATTCTGGTGAAGCTCATTGAACACCTTCATTAGATCCCCTTTGATGATTTTTTTTTATCAATACCAGAAATAGAATTCATTAATTATCAAAGAAATAAGTACAATTAAGAGAAAGGGAGAGATAAACTCTATTAGCTCTCCCTAAAAAGGATATAGTATTACAACCATGCCCAAAATAATCAGTTCCTTCCCACCCCTTGTTTAGCCAAAGAATCAGCAAAAGAATTAGCATATCTTTTAACCCATTTTAGAGTAAAATCCAAGCCTTGCATCAGCCATTTGATTCTTCTCTTCTCATAGATGAATCCCTACCCCCTCTTCCTTTTGCAGCCATCTAATGACTAGCTTTTAGGAAAAGGAACATAGCATTGTTAGGGAAATGGTTATGGAGGTTTCCATTGGAAAAAGATAAATTGTGGACAAAGATTGTGGCTAGCATACATGGGATGGAAGACAACAGTTGGGAACCAGGAATTTTGGCAAGGGCTACAGTTGCCTCTCCTTGGAAAGCCATTCATGATTTGCTTCCAGTCTTCTCCCCTTGGATCAGGTATGGTCTTAACTCCAGTAATAGAATAAAATTTTGGGAACAACATTGGATTGCGGACTCACCTTTGATGCACCAATTTCCCTCTTTGTATTCTCTATCAGATTTGAAAAATGAACCCATATCATCCTTCTTAAGCCCTTCAGACTCTCCTTCTGGTTTTGGGTGGAACCTAGGTCTGAGAAAGGCAATTAGGGATACAGAGTTGGTATGCATAATGTCTCTGTTAGCCATCCTCGAAAATGTTTTCTTGGACCGTAATAAGGAGGACACCAGATTCTGGACCTCTTCCTCCTTAGGTATTTTCTCTTGTGCTTCGTTTTTTGAGACATTAATTCAGCCTTCTGGTCCTATTGGGTTGTCATTCCTGGTTAAAGAAATTCGGAGCAAGCCCATTCCTCCTTGGGTTGGTAGTTTTTGTTGGGAAACTTTCTTGGAAAGAATTAACACAAATGACCTACTTCGAAAAAAAGAGACCCAATTCTTGTTTACTTCCTAATAGGTGTACTCTCTATAAAGCTGATGGAGAAACTGGTTACCACCTTATGGTTATTTGTTCGATCGCTAAAACAGTATAGGAGTGGGTTTTTTCCCTCTTTGGGTGTATTTGGACTCCCCCTGGGAGTGTCCAAAGCTTGTTTTGTTCTTCATTTTTCAGATGGCCGAAGAAGAGAGGGAAGGTTATGTGGAGAAGCATTAGGGCAGCCATGTGTTGGTCCCTATGGGAACAAAGAAACTCAGAAATATTTTCAGACAAGGAAAGAACCCTGGAAAACTTGTTAGATCTAATACTTGTAAGGGTAGCCCACTGGCTGAAAACTATGGAGCTGTTCTCCGGTTATTCTGTGGCTGATTTGGTAAGAAATTGGAAAAAGATAGCTATCTCTGCCCTATGTAAGAGGACTCGTAATCCTTCTTGGTCCCCTCCTCCCTCTGGGTTCATAAAACTGAATTTTGATGGTAGTTGTTTAAGGAATCCAAGGCCTTCTGGGATTGGGGGAGTGTTCAAGAATGAGGATGGGGTTATCACTGCCATGTTCTCAGGCCCAATTGGAGAAGGAGACTCTCTTAGGGCTGAGATTCTTGTAGCCCTGGAAGGTATCCAAAGAGCAAGAGATTTGAACATCAGATGTTTGGTCCTTAAAGGTGACTCGGAAGTGGTGATTAGGTGGCTAAAGGAAGCAGACAGCGGTTTGTGGAGTTATAACAATGAGAAGAAAAAATTCAAATGGCTGAATAGGGATATTGTGCTGCATTACAACTAGGTGAAGAGGACTGCTAACTCATTTGCTGATGGGTTAGCCAAGCAAGGGGTGAATAGGGAATCCATATTTTGGGCTAACTTTTGACTTTCTTCCAATGTATTCTGTTGGTGGGGAGTTAAGACATTTTACTTCCTCCCTTTGTACTTAAAGTTTCACATAGTTTCATATTATTAATAAAGTTTCTTGTTACAGATAAAAAAAAAAGGTTACCAAATAACCAACCCAATCATACAATTTATTAATCCTTAAGATTTCCATCTATTAATCAAGCTTCCTTTTTTTCTGCACGAGAGGAGAACAATAACAGCATCTATTTAAATTCAGATGGAGCATAAATCAGGATTAGATGGTCATACACGAAGATCAATCATAATACCAAATACAGAACCAAGGATCAAACCTGACGTCCAGCAAGATAAGTTTGTATGCTTCTTGTAGTACTACTACTATTGGTGAGTAATGAAGGATAATGCAGGATCACTCTATATTTACATGTTTAACTTCCTAATCCAAAAGTAAGGTAGTAAATGCACATCTATCTTGGTGCTTTCGCTAAATGGGGAATTCTTAGACTCATGCATGGTGAACTTTGTAAGAAATCAGAAATGCCTTGTTGGAAGACATGCCAAACAGCGAACAGAGAATATTGAATTATCCAGCTACCTAATAGGAATTAAGAATAAACTCGATGCCTAATCATGTTTCATGATAGATGGTGTGCAAGTAGTTGATAGTCTCAGCAACAAGAAGACCAATAGCAGATGCCTTGCTCTTTGTCACTCGAAATTGATCTTTTTTTTCTATCAGTACATGCGAAATTGATCTTTCGTAGTAAAAAAAATGATGGGAGAAAGAAAGAGAATATCTTTTATAACATAAACATGAAAAAAAAATGAAGTACGTATTCAATTGCCTCTTTATGTATACTGAAGATTAATCTGAACGAAGCAGAAGAAGAAAGGTACCTGGCGGTAATTTGGAGAGCCATCGATTTGAGGAGACAAACGTTTGTTCTGGCAGCCCGGAAAATGGTCGCTTTTGAGAATGGTTTTCTTGCCCAGTACAGATCCACCTCTTTGCTTCATCACCTGCTCTGGCTCCTTTGGAATCGACATCGTCATCTATTAACCGCAGAACTAACTTTTTCTTTCTCTATTATGTTCTTCCCTTCAATTGTACGTGTGTATTTTTTCCCTTATTGTGTTAAGACTTAAATTTGCATTTTGTCTGGCGAAAAAAAAGAGGAAATGTCAAGTAGTCACAAGTGATGCTGATACAGAGAACAAGTGTTACAAATTCTGTTGTATGGAACCAATCAGTCGCCACGAGGATATATTGAAAGGGAACACAAGAAGAGAAATTCCTCTGAGAGAGAAATTGATCTTGCTCGGGATAGAGAATAAAAGGATTACGAAGGACGAACAGAAAGTAACGGAGACATAGAAGAGAAAAGGAAAAAGAAATACGGACGGGAAGATAAGACGAACAGAGAAAAAGGGGTTACTGGTGAATATTGAATACAGAAGATTGCTTCCTAACTGGTTTATTGTGACTGTGGGACAGTCCGTCTCTCTCCCAAATGACAACGTGATAAGCGTGTCTATTGGATTCTCTTCCTGTACTGTACTGCAACTTTCGCTTTGACATAAGAGGATGAGTCAGTGGAAACAACCGACCAATGATGAAAGCGTATTCTGTGGATAATAAAATAACAATATACCAAATTCCTCATAGAATTTTCATTAGGGCAGTGATTTGAGCACGTCCCCTCGACACAGGGGCAGACCCCTGATACTTAGCAAACCAATAAACACCATATTTCGAGTAATTTGATTTCTTAACAGTGGATTTCTCTCTTTTCACCGGGGAGGGGAAATGCCAATGGGATGCCGGATGCGCCCTTACCACCCCCAACCGGAGGTGATCATTTTTCCAGCATCCAGCCATCCACCAGTCTGACCGGGCCCAGTCCTGACTGCTATATAAGAAAGATTGGGCTGGGTGCGAAACCTTTAGCCTGATCCATCCCGGAATATAATATGGTACTACAAGAGGCCTATGACATTCTCCATCAGTCCATTGGGGGGTGATCATGGGCCGAGCCGGGCTTTACATCTTTTACAAGGGCTGTACGCCAGGCTTGAAATATAAGCCCGGGCCCAGACCGGATTAGGCCGGGCTTTGAACCTACTTCTTTAAATACAAATTTTTATTATATTACATATAATATGTGTTATAATTTATATAGCATAAAATATTCTATATCAAACATGTATATATAAAATATATTACACATTATATATCAATATATTGTGGGCCAAACTGAACCTAGGCCCAAGTTTGGATGTTTTCAGTCTGGGCTGTCGTGAGCTTGAAATGATCACCTTTATTCTCAATTGAACCAAGCCAATATAAATCCAACTCAACTCAAGCATTATTCCTTGGATTATGTCTGATTAGTCTAATTGTAATCCTAGATGCACTCCAATGAGTGTGGACATTAAATTAGTAAAATTAACTTTAAAGTAATACATTTTCATTGCTTTATTAATTATTGTTCTATTAATAATTTAGTTTTTATTAATTTTTATTAGTAAAAAAATAAAATTAATTCTAATATTTTATTGATGTAATTATTTTAAATATAATTTAAACTTAATAAGCTTTTAATAGTAAAATTAATTTTATTTACTGGTAACTTTTGTTAACTTTAATGATATTAAGTGGAATTTAAATTAATAAAAATAATTATTTATGAAACTAACATTTATTAATTTTATTGTTTTGTGTTAATTTTTAAAAATTTAATAATTATTAGAATGGAATTTATTGTTTTGTTTATTAATTAATATTATTTTACTAGTATTATTTACTTATTTTAGTATATATTATTTTTCAATTATTAGTATTTTAAATATTTTCTCATATCTTATTTTAATATTTAAAATTTAACTTGATATTAATATTTTAATATGATTGATGGAAAATTAATATTTGGACAATGAAGAGAGATAGAGATAAATACATATATGCATACATACATACATACATACATATAAAGATATGAAGATATATAAAAAGAGAAAGATATGAAGATATATAAAAAGAGATAGAGAGAGAGAGAGAGATTTAAAAGAAAATGTTAGATGATGTTATTGACAATGTGAGAAAGTTTAGGAAAAATTTTAAGAGGGGAAAATATTTCAGGTGATTGAGAACGTGAGATGATAGAGAGCATGTTAAAAAATGCAAAAAATTAGAATATTACAATAAAACAATAGGGAAGGTAGAAGAAGAATATTGACATAGACAACTGTGTTTTAAGAATGTAGAATAGATACATATTACATATAGGCAACTTATATGATGCTAAAAGGGTATGATATACAAAATGCTCATTTGGGAGGGCTTTCAGCAACGGTGGATGTGGACGTTGTACTAATAATCATGGTACAAGAAGTAGAGAAGAGCAGAAGAAAAACTTGCATCCATAGCCACCGCAACGACCCCTATAGCAACTTCAACTAAGCTCCCCCTCGACATCCTCTTCTTCCTTGATATCTTCTCCTTCCACTACTTCCAGTCCCTCAAGTCTCCAGTCGCGCTTCGTGTACCAAGTGAGCCCTTGCCACTAAAGCAGTTCCTCTCCTCTCCTCATTCACAAACCCCTCCAGCATCTGGTGGCCCACTACCGCTACCACCGCATCCCCTAAGACGATAAGACGACACAATGGAGTCACCACTTCCTAACGGTCAAAGATACTAGAGGGAAGTTCGAATAGAAGAAGCCTTACCCATTAAACTAGTGCTGCTCAGATGGATGTCTTTAATAGTAGTAGTAGAGTAGTAATAGTTGAGGGTTGTAATTGTTTTATTCGATTTTGTATTGTATTTTGTTAAATAAAATAAATTAGGGAAATTTCCGGATAGTACCTGTACTTTGGTTCGAGTGACAATTTATTTGGTCCTCAAACTTTAAAATGCGACAATCCATTACCCAAACTTTCAAAATGTGACAATCCAATACCCGAACTCAAGGTTCAAAATATCGATACATCCGATACACCAGTAGGGGCGTATCGGGCAAATCGATACCTTTCTTTTTTTACTTTTTTTTATTTTTTTCAATACCAGTTCAGGGGGGCAGTTTAGAGCTCATCCACCCCCTGAACCGGTCAGACCCCTAATACACCCACTGTAGGGGTGTATCGGAGAGGTCTTGAAGTGATGCGTATCGGCTGATACGTGTCGATACTTTGAACCTTACCCGAACTTTCAAAATGTGGCAATCCAGTACCTACTGTTCATCTGCCGTTAAGTGACATTTGAAAAGTTAAAAATGCCCTTCGAATGCCATCTAAATCTCTTTACCAACCATCCAAACATTGACAAAACAATTTAACAGTCCCAAATCCTAGCCTCTTCTATTCAAAAAAGTTTATGACTGTTTAGAAAAATCTAGAATTTGGAACTGCTCATTTTGTTGTCAATGTTGGGATATTCGATAAAGAGAATTAGATGGCATTCTTAGGGCATTTTAACTTTTCAAATGTCACTTAACGGTTGATTAACGGACTGATTAATGGCAAGTACTGAATTGTCACATTTTGAAAGTTCGGGTACTGGATTGTCACAGTTTGAAAGTTTGAGTATTGAATTGTCACATTTTAAAGTTTGGGGACCAAATTGTCACTCGAGCTAAAGTACAAGGTACTAATTAGGAATTTTCCCAATAAATTATTAATAATGCCACATGTGTATTGTGAGGGTTAGAATTGACATTTCATCAAAATGTTTTAATATAATATTCATAAGACAATATATACATGTATTTATTAAATTAAAGTCATAATTGTTATTTGTGCAAATACAAGTACTTATTGGTTAAGCGGCTCACCAAACATTGTAATCAAGTAGTATTTAAAATAAGTGCAAGTTGTTTGGGAAAGGCGCCCCAAACCCTGATAAATACTTATTCAAAGAATTGCTTATGAAATAAATACTTAATTTCCAAACCATTTATTTGACAAAAATACCCTAAGTACATTAAATAAATTAGGCTACATAAGGTAAATAAGTGAAATTGCCATAATTTTAACATCTCTATCTCAAGAAATTAAACAAAAGGGGTGTATTTACATATTTATTTGAGAACTGGAGGAGGGTTCTTGCACAGATCAAAACTTAGGGGAGGTTTAAGTAATAATAAGCTAATTTTAAGAAATTAAGTTAAAGCAAAATTATGTTGACTGATTTAGTTTAAAAAAGTAAAATTGTGTTCAAACTTTTAGTTATGGTAATCAAACTAATTTAATTGAATTAACTTAACCGAAGTAATTTAAGTATTATTAGTTACAAGTTATTAGTACATAAATTTGTATTATCTTAATTGGCAAATAAATATAACATAAATATAGAAGGAATCATGGCATTTGTAAATATAAAATAAAATATATAACATGAAGTAGGTTTGGGACTATAAAATAAAATATATGGCATTCAATAACAATAAAACTAAACACTAACAGTGAAAAAGCATCAATTATATGATAAAAAAATGTAGAAGTTAAGGTTTGAGTGATTTGTCCACAATTAGACAAAACTTACTCTGAACACTTACAAATCTGTATAAAAAAGAAGTATGACACATGTAATCATGTAAAATAAGTCAATTAAGTTAAATAAGGAAATTAACTAAATTAAGCAAATTGGGTTAATTAAGTTAAGTTGAAGTATAGGAGAGGTTTAAGTATTTAGTTCATTAATCTAAGTTAAATAAAAAATAATAAATCTAAGTTAATTATTTGATTAATTATTAATTTTTTAATAATGTAATATAACCATTTTACTAATTAGGTTGAACCGCTGAACCAGAAACCAATGGCCAAAGCGGTTATGGTCTGGTTCCGGGTCCGTTTTTAAAACATTGGTTTGAGTTTACCCCTAACATGTTAAAATATACTACCTATTGACTTTGTTCAAAAAACCGTCGATTGAGTGATTGCTTTCAAACCAATAATCCTATAATTTATTTTTATTCTTCAGTGTTTATAAATTATAATACACATTTTTAAATTTTGGATAATAATAACAAAAGAGAGGCTGGGACGTTGAACAACTAACAAGTGATTTCATTGAGGTTTTGTTTCAACCTTTAAAAGCTGTGCAAAATGAAAAATTAACAATCGGCTGAATTGTTGTGTCAAGATTTATGGTCACAAGAGATTAATTCTCACCCAATTCAAATCAATTACAGAACCCATATTTATTGCTAACATTTATACATCCAGAAACATCTTCAAAGATAAGTCCTGTTTTCTTGAGAATTGGAATTAATGTTACAATCTTTGGCAAGCAGCTCATTAATCATTATGACTAAGAATTTGAACATTCACAAGTCTTGAAACTAAGACTTATTTATGCAAAATCCAATTACTAATTTTTACGTGATATCTCTTGATCCTTATCATCCCTGTTATGCAAGGTGGTTGATGAGTTGGAAGGAGAGTCCTCGGATGTTACAGAACCGGCACTATCATCTTGACCGTAAAAGAATGAACCCAAAGACAAAGGATTGTAGGTAGAGCTTGCCTTTCGGAGGCCTTGTATGGTTCTCATTGCAGCCAGTGTACTACGATAAATGTCCACAGTATCCTCACTGAGAGAGGATGTCTCTTGCAGGGTAGATGTATCATTGCATAGAGAGTCCATCTGATCTTGTGGAGGTGGTGCACTGGATTCAATGACCTCTGCTTGGAGTGGGAAGAGAAGTTCCAGATTGGCTTCACACTCATGGACTAGCCTTGTGAGAGGTTCTGTGGTGAAGAAAGGTTGATGGAGGGCACGCTGTGTGAAAGGTAACTGCAACAAACCCCCGGTTCTCTTATCATACTTCTTCAGAATTTTCACCAGTCCTGTAAGGTAGGAATGAACAGGAAGTCTCAGCAGGTATTGATGTTTTCCAATCCTTTTACATGTCCTCCCCAATTGGGCACTTAAACTTTTCTAAGAGATGTAGATAAAATATTTAATCTACCTGTAAAATTAAGGGAACTGTAGTTTTTAAGAAGAATCATCTCCCCATGAATAGTGACAAAGTCTTTACGGATATCCAACATTTCCTCACTGAACTCATTCTCTGATGTAAAAACTCCATCTTTACTGCTTTTTTCCTTCACACTCTCAATTCTTTCCTTCAGCTCCTATTGCAAATTCAATCAAGCCACAATAAAAAAAATACATAATTACATAAACAACAAAAAAAATCACAGTTGCATTTGTGCTCACTCCAATGGATACAAGGCCTTCATAATAGCAAGGCATGAACTTTTTTATAAGAAATAGTAAAGCATGAACTTTGTCATCCACATCATGGACATGCAAAATACTTGTAGTACTACTTGGAGATAATGCCAAGACATTTTTTGATGATTAATGAAGAATGATTGAAAGAAAGGATTGCATTTCTACACAGTATGAAGCATTCATAACTTCATAGCTACAATTTAATGATTCAACTTTGTAGAATCAATGCAAACCTCTTGTATCGTAATCCTATGCTTTTTGACTTCAGCTTTCTTCAACAGCTTTTCTTATTCCCAACCTCAGTCTGACGGTCCAAATTCCTATCATTCCCTTCCCTTCAACAGTGCCACATTTTTTTATCACCACTTAATTCATAATAAGAAAGTACAACAGAACAAAGAGAGGAAGAAATAAGCTCTCCAACTCTCCCCCAAAAGAAAGCCAAGTTTATAATAAAGCCCAAAAAATTGATCTCTTCCCACCCCTTGTTTCACGAGTTCATCAGCAAAAGAATTAGCACATCTTTTCACCAACTGCAACCTTACTTCCATATCTTGTGATGCAAACTTAAATCTCCTTTCATTAGCATAGCTCCAAAAACCATCTTCCTTCTTTTGCAGTCAACCCATCACCGGTTATGAATCTCTTTCAATAATCAGCTTTCAAACGTTCAGCTCCTTGAATCTTTGTCCACCTTCCATTACAGCTAAGATTTCGGCCCTTAAGGGATCACTTACATCAATTGGACCCAAGAACAAAGCAACGATCTTTCCTTCCTCATTTCTGAATACTCCTCCAATGCCTGAAGGACCAAGGTTCCCCTCACTGCTTCCATCAAAATTTAGCTTAATGAAACCACAAGAACGTGGACACCAAATGGGGCTAACAACAGCGTTAAGAGGGCCTGAATCAGCCACTTTCTTCTACTTTCTAAGCAGATCATCTGTAAAGATATCTCCAAAAATGTCCGAAGATTTCACCCAATGGACCACTCTAACGGTAATGGCTTCAACAATTGCTTCTCTATTTCTCTCCTTTTCTAAGAAAATTCTTAAGTTTCTTTTCTTCCCAAATTATCCAGCAAGCAGCAGCCCTTGTGCATCTCCATAATAATCTTCCCCTTTTCTTTGGCCAACTGGAAGAGGTAGAAGCAAAAGTCTCTCCTAAGTCCTACCTTCTCATCCAATCTCTAGATAAATATTGCCCGACTCTCATGAAAAAGGACCTAGGTGAACTTTGATACTTTTGGGCATTAAAGTTGTTAGGTCCAAGCTTTTGATACGCCAGATAGGGTGTATCAACTATCAAGACTTCAAATCTTGTGCTTCCTTCTATTTTTTCAAAATTTGATGATTGGGCATATTATTATATGATGCAATACGCCCCAGCCCATATCAGGCATATCGTATCTAAATTCTGAACCTTGTTTAGGAATAAACATGGGATTTTTATATTATAAAAGAAATATGTACTTTACCTGCATAAAGGGATAGGGAAACTGGGAGTGAAGCCAGCTGAAACCCCCACCAACCAAAATCATAAGTGCTACAAATGGAGAGCTTGTGAAGGACAAAAGGATGTATCAAATGTGAAGAGTCCCAATGATGTATTATATTACTGTAGTCCTTGTATTGTATCTCTTATTTTCTTATTTTCTTCTTTAGTCCTGCAAGGGCTTTTTCTGTAAATATTCACTCTCTCTCTCTCTCTGAACTGTTTGTGTGGCATGGTATCCGAGCAGGTTGCTCTATAATCTGGGCTTGCTCCATGCTCACTCACTAATCTCTCAAGGGCTGCTGATTTCTGGGTGCATTGACTGAAGATAGGGCTGTATTGATCAACCCTAACCCTAGGTTACTCTGTTCTGCAATTTCAGCAAGAGAAAGCTTCTTAGAACCCTCTTGGAAGGCATTTGCTTGAAGTGAAACTTGATCCGATGTGTTGCCCAGGCCTGTTTTACTCACAAGAAAGTTTCTTTAAGATTAGACAAGTTTTGGAGGAGTTCTGATCTTCTCTCCAGGGCAGAAGTAGGTTTCTTCTTCCTTCTCTGGACTGTGTCATTCCCAAGTATTCATGCAAGCTTCAAGCACTCAATTCCAGGCTGCTATTACTTCAGACTGAGGAGTTCAAACGACATACTCCATTCCTCTTCAAGCTGCTCATCTGAAATCACTTGGTGGCCGATTTGAAATGCACAGAGTAATTCCCTTTCGGGAAAACCTCCCATGTCAGGTTGCTGAATCCCTTTGTTTCTCAATCAACTGTTGTTTATCCTTGGTACCATAGATTTTGTGCTGCCCTAGGGTATCCTCACTTTTCAGTTACTTGATAGGAGTTTATAATCAGTTCGGGAGGTTTTTTAATCCTCTCCTCAGTTCAACAGTCCTGATACACTTGGGTTGGACTGTCAACACAGCATACAATCTGGTTGGTCTTGCTCTGAGTAATCTCTTGGAGGATTTTGATTCCTCTATAGGATGGCTTATCTCTGCTAGTTGTCCGACTGAAGTTATTTGATCATATATATCTTCTGGACCAGATTTCATTACTGTTTATCTGCATTGCTTACTTCAACCTTGATGTTAAAATTCTTTTTTTTTTTCTGAGAAAGTCCTGTGTTTGGGTTGCAGTGATACTACTTTCAGTATTTAAATTGTTGCTGAATTAAGTAAAGTGGTTAACAACCTTGAAATATAAATGTCAGTGCTGCTACTTTACTCCCAGTGTTGTTTTATTCATTTAAAATAGCTGAAAAGAAAGGTATTATTCCTGTGAAATTTGATGGAACCAACTATAGTATGTGGAAGTTCCATAACCAGAGTGCTTCTGGTTACTCTCTTTGTTAGGAAAAGACTCCAGGGTCTTACGATTCTCCTCTTGTATGTGGATGACACGTTTTGAATGGAAATGGTATGGAGAAACTGAAGCCTACATATATGTCAATGGTTCTTTCAATCCAACATCAGAAACAGCTGGCATTGGTTTTATCATTCTAACACGATCAATCTGTTTTATGTGCAACAAGCAGAAGAATTAAGGCTTCATCAAGCGCTCAAGCTTAATGGTGGGCAGCTATCTACGGCCTCAGGAAAGCTGTATCACTGAAATTCAGAACAGTGACTCTTTTGGCAGACTCTCAATAAGTCGTGAAAGGTATAAATGAGTATATATAGATATAGATATATATGCAAAATATGGAACCTGGCTCATCATCATTCTTTTTTTTATCAGTAACAGGAAACTTTCATTAAATTATAAAAAGATTAAAATACAAAGATTGGGAGAGGTAAACCCTCTTACCACCCCCCCAACAATAAGATTACATAGTAGCCCAAAACAAATGGCTTCTTCCCACCCCCTGTTTGGCCAAAGCATCTACAAATGAATTAGCACATCTTTTAACCCACCGGACACGCACATCCATTCCTTGAGTTAGCCACTTGAAATGACTTTTTTCATTAATGTAAGCCCATAACCTGTCGTTTGCCTTCTCGGCTTCTCTATCCAACCAATTACCACTTGTGACTTTCCTTCAATAATCAACTTATTTATATTCAACTCCTTAGCCCTTTTTACCCCCTCCAGGAGGGCCTGAAGCTCTGCTCTCAAAGAGTCTCCAACTCCAATTGGTCTAGAAAAAAGAGATATAACTGAACCTGCCTCTGTTCTGAACACACCACCAACCCCTAATGGCCCTGGGTTTCCATCACTGCCCCCATCAAAGTTGAATTTGATAAAGCCTTCCATCGGAGGGGTCCACATCGGAAGGACATTCAGTCTACTGGGAGACAAGACTGCTATCTCCTGCCAATTATTCATGATGGTCTCTATTGAAACATCTCCAAAGAGATTCATTGTTTTTACCCATTGTGCTACCCTCAATGAAATTACTTCTATAATTGTGTCCCTACTTCATTCTTTTTCAGCAAATATCCTTTGGTTCCTTTCCTCCCAAATTGTCCAACAAACTGCTGCTTTAATACATCTCCACAAGATTTTTCCCCTCTTTTTGATCCGGCAACCAACTGCGTAGGCGAAGAGACTACAAATGCTTGATGGAGGAGTCCACTTGCAACCAAATAAAGAGAGAAACCACTACCAAATAGAAGAAATAAAAGGGCAGGATATAAGTAAATGAGAACAAGACTCACCATCAGCGTTACAAAGGGTACATCAGTGCGGGGACAAGCACCAAAAAGGCTTCTTTTTTGAAGAAGACCGCAAGTATTAATTGTTTCCGAAGTGATTTCCCAACAGAGTGCTCCAACCCTAGGTGGGACCGGTCTTCCCTACACTTCTTTAGAAGGGAAGGGTGAGGCAAGAGCAACGGAAGAGTGGGCCAGGGCATTGAAAAAGGAGGCACAACTGAAAGAGCCAGAAAAAGAGAGGGTCCAAATTCGGGAATCCCCCTAAATCAGATCTAAAAAAACCTTTTTGAGAACCTGAATCAAGGACAACATCAAATCCATCTCAAAATCTCTAAGGCCTCGTCTGAAACTCAAATCCCAATTAATCTTAAGCCCTGGGCCAACGGAAGAAACTAAAGAAGAGGCAATTAAGTTTTTGTACCTAGAAAGGGAGAAAAGGGAAGGAAATTGATCTTTAAGAGGTGTCTCCCCTACCCACACATGCTCCCAAAATCTCACCATATTTCCAGAACACAAATTGTACCTTATGAAGGGTAGAAAACAAGGAAGAATGGTATGGATGGCTTTCCAAGGTGTTATCACTTTTGTTCACAGTTTGTCTTGGTCCATCGGAAATCTCCATAGCCACTTACCCAGTAAGGCTGTATTCCTCTTCTGAATATTCCCAATTCCTAGACCCCCTAACTTCTTATTTCTAACCACCATTTCCCATCTCACCCTATGATCCCTCCTCTCCTCACCTGGTTCCC